AAACATGGTACCAACCGCTGAAAAGGGTGTACCTCCCCCCCCCCCCGCCCGCCCCTTTTTATTTCCCTTCCGGTTCTACTTCTGAATCCCCCTCTGTGCCCCCCGCCCCCCCCAGTCCACATCTCAGCTTATTCGAGACCGAGGCACCCTACCCTGCACCTTGAGAACAGAGCTAACCAACTGGTGGCTCGGAGGGACTTCTTTTCTTTTTCACCAATTCTTCTTTCTCCCACCTCTAAACCTCAACCATGTTGAGGCTCCCTGCAAGAACCAATTCGGTATCAACCAGCCAGTCCCGGGGTCCGTAACCTGCAGCCCGCGGGCCAGACCCAGCCCACCACCTATTTTTGTCAATAAAGCTTCGGTGGAACACAGCCAAGCGCATTTGCTTACATACTGTCCGTGGCTGCTCTCGCTGTGGAAGTGACTGCTGCGGAGGTGACTGCTGCAGGCCTCCCACGAGGCCAAAAATACCTCTCACCGGAACCCTTTATAGAACATAACTGCTGACCCTGCAGTAGTGGCTACCCGAACCGCGGGCCGGAGGGCCTGCGGCCACCCAGGCCTCCGCTGCTCGATGCCAGAGGGATCATGCCGTTCACTCTGGTTTCCCTGCAGGCCGTCCTCGCGTTGCTTACAACCTGCCCTGAATACAGAATGAAAACCTGCTTCCCGTGCCCACCCCAGGGCCACGCATCCAGTGGTCTCTGCGCAGAGCTCGATTCCTTTCAAACCCTGCGGGTCTAAGTGTCAGGCGAAGACACCGACTGGTCGCTGAAGGGGGCCAGGCAGAACAGGTGTAAGACTGATGGCCCACGGCTCCCAGGCGTCCTGTTGGCAGTGCTAATATTTTTTGCAAAGAAAAGGTTTACAAAGGTTTCCCAAGAATTTAAACAATAGCACCGCCTGGTCGCTCGCCCCATTTACTCTGCTCTGTATTTCATCACAGACTTAACACCACCTGATATTAACGTTATATGGTGATTTCTGTCTCCTTAATCAGGTGGCAAGCTCCGTGAGAAGAGACATGGAGTGTTCTAGTGCCTCCTCTATTCCCAGCACCTGTTGACAGAAGACGCTCAATGCATCTCTGAATGAATAAATGAATGAAAGACCAGGGAAAGGGGCTGGACTCTGCTGGTAAGTTTCTTTTTTTTTTTTTTTTTTTTCAACGTTTTTTATTTATTTTTGGGACAGAGAGAGACAGAGCATGAACAGGGGAGGGGCAGAGAGAGAGGGAGACACAGAATCGGAAACAGGCTCCAGGCTCTGAGCCATCAGCCCAGAGCCCGACGCGGGGCTCGAACTCACGGACCGCGAGATCGTGACCTGGCTGAAGTCGGACGCTTAACCGACTGCGCCACCCAGGCGCCCCTCTGCTGGTAAGTTTCAAAGCAGCTTGAATCGGCCCCGGAAGTGGCCCACTGATTGCCTTGAGAGCTCATGTTCCAGTGTCTGGAATCCTCTAACGCACAGATGCCTCCATCGACAAGTACTTATTAAACACCTACTGAGTACCAAGTCCTGAGCTAGGCAATTTGGGATCAGCAGAGAGTCTAATCCCTGGCCTCCAGGTCTACGCAACACAGTGGGAAGACATGAGACACATTCAGGGAAAGCAACATGGAGCAGGAGGCAAGACAGAGAGAAATACCTGGATCCAGCGCTCCTCCTTCAACAGCGATGATACAAAACAGCTTGATCAGATCTCCCCGGATAACCGACGGTGTGTCTGAATGCACGGAGGCATTAAATATAGGACCTGGAAAACAGTGATGGCACCTCATTATTCCCGTTCACACTCGTGTTTAAATTCCATTCCTGGCGCTCTAATGGCCATCTAAATGTGGCCCGCCTTCCTTGGACCTGGGCTAGGTGGCGGTCTAAGGTGGCTTTGCTTCTCTTCAGAGAGACATGTGCATCACGCACAGTCAAATGAGCGTCCTCTTCATTACAGCCACCACAGAACTCTTCCTACAGAATTACTTTTGCTTCTGGCTTTTCCCGTACCTCTTCTCTGATGACAACCGTGGTCCCATTCGAAGGCCACCCCCACCTGCCAGCCTGATACAGCCTGGGTTGCTTCCGCTTCTGTGCGGGTCACCTCCAGGCCAAGGTGGCAGGAGAGCAGAGGGAACAGGACTGGACTGGGGACACTTCTGGCCCCCGACGGGGAGAGCGGCCTCGCTGTGCTGGGGACAGGGGCTCTGCCGTTAGGAGGCTGAGATCCAGTGAGCAGACCAACTTGCCAACAATGACGACACTGTAGGGGGCACTGGCGGGCACCACAGGCTCCAATCTGTCAGGGGAAATCGAGGCAGCATGGGTATTGCTTCAAAACACTACCCACACAGGATCGGTCTTGCACACCTTCCTGAGAACACCTCTCCTTGACTTTCAGTTTGCTTTAAAAAAAAGAACTTTCTCCTTCTTCCAGAGGCCAGAAGATGGTGCTACTCAAAGTGTGCTAACTGTATAGGGCACAGGTACTCCAAGCTTTCGAGTTGTGAGCACAAAAATGAGCAACAAAATTGGAAGTATAAAGAGTGAACACAGAAAGAGAATTTAGTGCTAGAATTTCATAATATTTGCCACAGAGTCAGTTAGATGCATCTGACTGTAGATATCATTGCTATTATGCTATTTGATTACTAGACATAAGTAAGTGACTTATTAAATTAAAAAAAAAAAAAAAAAAAAGTATCCCAGGGCGCCTGAGTGGCTCATTTGGTTGGGCGGCTGACTCTTGGTTTCGGCTCGGGTCACGATCGCACGGTTTGTGAGATCGAACCCCACGTCGGACTCTGCACTGATAGTGCGGAGCCTGCTTGGGATTCCCTCCCTCCCCCTCTCCCTAAGAATAAAATATGGGGCACCTGGGTAGCTCAGTTGGTTGAGCTTCTGACTTTGGCTCGGGTCATGGTCTCACGGTTTGTGAGTTCGAGCCTCACATTGGGCTCACTGCTGTCAGTACAGAGCCGGCTTCAGATCCTCTGTTCCCCTCTCTCTCTCTGCCCCTCCCTTGCTCATTCTCATTCTCTTTGTCTCTCTCTGTCTCTCTGTCTCTCTGTCTCTCAAAATAAAAATTAAAAAAATAAAATAAACTTCAAAAAAAAAAAGTATCCCTTTGCACGGCCGCAATCTGGCTCCTATCGTCTTCACTCCTTTCACTCCTCGGTTTTATGTGGCAGCATTACGTAGCTTTCAGCCAACCTGATCCGAAGACCTCAGTATTTACCTTATTCTAATTTCTAAAATCTCAGAACAGGCAAACCTGACGAAGGTTCCAGAATACCTATGGGACTTCTCTTGGGTTTCCTGGGAAGCAAAAAGAGATGGCCCTGGACACAGATTCTGAAACTCATTCAAAGCTAAACATATTGTGATTACTATCTTTTAAATCAGATCATCAAAGAGGAGGAAGTACTTTTTTTTTTTTTTTTAACACCTACAAGAAATGACGGAGAAAGAGTGTGAAGGTCATGCGAACCAACGAGGCAGAGTCGAAAAGGCTGTATTTTCACTTCACCGTGAGCGGGAAGATGAACTGCTCGGATTGCTTTCCTCACACCAAGGACCAGAGTGGTCTGTTCTGCTGGGAGAAAGGCAAAGGGCGGGTGGAGGGGACGGCAGCCCAGGGGGGTGGGGCAGCCCTGAGCAGGTTGTGGGGAGAGTTCAGATGAACCGCGGGCAGCAGGAGGGCATCAACTCTGGGGGCAGGGCAGGGGGATCATGACGGAATGGCGGTCCCGGGCATGGGGAAAGGGATGAAAGCAGAGAGAAGAGGGAAGGCTGACCTACGTGTGGACGGCCTGCCCTTCAATTAACTGCCCTCCCAGCCACGGTTCCCACAGGTCCTGACCAGCCTGGATTTGATCTACCTGGATGGCTCCCTGGGAGTGCACGTTAGTAGCAGCCAAGGTGACCCGTGAGGACCACACGTTTTCTCTGACTAGAAACAGAGCTCCACCAAGGGGCTTTCTGGAAGTGTCCAGCCCCCTTCTGACACACCACAAAATGATAATAAAGCAGGAAGATCCTCATCATGGATTTGGGTTTCTAAATTTGAACCCGCAAAGGAAGACTTACCAATTTGGACAAATTTCACTTTCGTTTCTTTGTATGTCCAAAGAAAACCCAAAATGCCTTGTAGGTCACAAGTTATGGTTGTCATTTCCCCTAGCGGCTACGGCTGTGGGAACAACGGAGCACTTGTGCTACGGCTCACGATGCAGACAAGGGTCTGGGAAAAGGCCTTCATTGTGATATATAAACGGCGGTGCACTTCCTTCTAATGAAATCAACAACTTGCTGTTAATATGGGTCTTTATGCCAGCCTTGGAAATATTTTTATTATGGTCAACTTCTGTGGTAATGCTGTTTTTGCGAGGGAATTTGGTTAACTTCACAGATGACAGACGTCGGCACAGAGAATGTAAGTGAACAATCAGAGTCACTAGATATCCCCCGATTCCTAGTCTGCAGAGAGTAAGCACACGGACCACTTAGTTTTTAAATACAAACACCGACAGGACCATGTTCCAACTCCAGCCCCTAAAAAAAAGGTTATAAACAGCAGTGTTTTTGTGAAAGCCCAAACTGTAGGCCACCCGCATGTCCATCAATAGGGTAATGGTTAACTAAATTTTCTAGGAGGTGTAGTCATTAAAGTTGTTATTTACCTAGAATTCGTTTTAACATGAAAAATACGTATCTTATAAGGTTAAGGCGGGAAAGCAGATCATGAAAATGTATATACGGCCTGAAGTCACAGTCATGAAGAAAACACGTAAGAGAAGATTTCTAGGAAGACAGACAACACCAATTAACAAGGTCTGGTAGGTTATGGGTAATTCTTTTCCTTCTCTACTGTATCATATTTAAAATTTTTTCTCTTTTAAGGAGAAGAGCTTTCGTATTATCCTTTTTGAAAGGCCAAAACCTTGAACACCATAACATTTAATCCATATTTCCCCCTGACACTTTGGGTCAGTGAAATTCATGACTCAGCAGGGCCCCTTGGGAAACACTGTCCTCGTACCAAGATGCAAGTACCCCCAAACCAGAGGATAGAAAGGTAGACACCAGGAAGGACCTCTCTGTCATATGGCTCTTATGGCGTGCTGCTGATTTTTAGGAAGCAAACACTCTTCAATATCAAGTCAGTGCTTGCTGGGAGTCAATCGGGGTGAGGGCACTGTGCTGGAAGGATCTGATGGCAACTTCTCCTAACTCAACTGTGAACTGGCCATGACAACTGCATGGATTAAATACAATAAAAATCTTAGCCAGTCTAAGACCGAAGCCAGTCTTCAACCTTTTATCATTTTATCTGTTGTGCAGAGATTTAAAGAATTGAGAAATAGGGGCGCCTGGGTGGCGCAGTCGGTTAAGCGTCCGACTTCAACCAGGTCACGATCTCACGGTCCGTGAGTTCGAGCCCCGCGTCAGGCTCTGGGCTGATGGCTCAGAGCCTGGAGCCTGTTTCCGATTCTGTGTCTCCCTCTCTCTCTGCCCCTCGCCCGTTCATGCTCTGTCTCTCTCTGTCCCAAAATAAATAAACGTTGAAAAAAAAAAATTAAAAAAAAAAGAATTGAGAAATAGATTCAATGCCCATTCCTCACCCAGGAATAAAAAGATCTTATGTCTCCCTTCTTTCCCATAACAATTCGAGAGAAACAGCAAATAACAAATGTAAAACAAGATGGAATAAACTCCTATAGAGAGTAAAACAGATACATGAATGAAAGACAAAGACCACATAATCCTCTGAATATCAATAGATACAGAATAAGTATTTGACAACATTCACCGTCTCTCATGGTAAAAACAAACAAACAAAAACAAACAAAAAAAACCACTCACCAAACCAGTAATGAAGGGAAACTTCCCCAACTCAATAAAGGGCATCTATGAAAAACCCACAGTTACAATGATTCTTAATGGTAAAAAACTGCAACCTTTCCCCGTAAGATCAGGAACCACACAAGGATATCCTCTCGTGCCACTACCATTCAACATTGTACTAGAGATGCTAGCCAGGGCAATTAGGCAAGAAGAAGAATTAGAAGGCATTCAGTTTGGAAAGGAAAAATTAAAATTGTCTTTATTCACAGATGCCATTTCATTGTATTGAAAACAGTCCAAGGAATCAACCAAAAAAAAAAAAAAAAAAAAAAAAAACCAATTAAAACTAATAATAAGTCCAACAAGGTTACAGAGTCTGACATCAATATAAAAGGTTGCAGAACCTGACATCGATATACAAAAATCAGTTGTGTTTCTTTCTATACACTTGCAACGAACAAACAGAAAAGGAAATTAAGAGAGCCATCCCAGGGGTGCCTGGGTGGCTCAGTCGGTAGAGCGTCCAACTCTTGATTTTGGCTCAGGTCATGATCTGCTGGTTCGTGGGCTTCTGCTCCATGTCGGACTCTGTGCTGACAGCATGGAACCTGCTTGGGATTCTCTTTCTCCCTTTCTCCCTCTCTCCCTCTCTCCTTCCCTCCCTCCCTCCCTCCCTCCCTCTAAATAAATAAATAAATAAATAAATAAATAGCAATTCCATTTACAATAGCATCAAAAAATAAAATACTTAGGATAAATTTAATGAAAGAAGTTCAAGATTTGTATACTGACAACTATAAAACATCACTGACAGAAATTAAAGAAGGCCCAAATAAATAAAAACATGTACCATGTTCATGGATGGGAAGGCAGTACTGTTATATGGCAATACTCTCCAAACTGATCTACAGATTCAACAGAAGTCCTATGAAAGTCCCAGCTGTCATTTTTGCAGACATTAATGGGTGATCCTAAAATTCATACAGATATGGAAGGGACCTAGAAAAGCCAAAACAATCTTGAAAAAGAACAAAGTTGGGAAGGCTCATATTTCTTGATTTCAAAATTTACCTCACAGCTCAGTAATCAAACAATGTGGTACTGGTATAGGAACAGACATACAAAGCAATGTTATAGAACTGAGAGTCTAAAAAAACCCTTACACTTATGGGTAAATGATTCTTGACAAGTGTGCCAAGACAAGTCAAGGGGGAAAGAAGAGGCTATTCAACAGATGGTGCAAGAACAGCTGGTTCTTCACATGTAGCAAGGCAAAACTGAATCCCTTCCCCTGCCATACACAAAAATTAACTAAAATGGATCATAGCCCTAAATGTTAAGAGTTGAAACGTAAAACTGTTAGAAGAAAACAGAACCATAAATCTTCACAACCTTGGATCAGGAAATCGTTACTTGGACAAGACACCAAAAACATAAACAAAAAAAGAAAAAACTAAATTGGACTTCATCAAAATTAAAAGGTTGCATGCTTCAAGGGATACCATCAACAAAATGAAAAGACTACCCAGACGGGGAGAAGGTATTTTTAAACAATGTATCTGTGAAGGGGCTTGTATCCAGACCATATGAAAAACTCAACTAACCAATGATAAAAAGATAAATAACTCAATTTAAAAATGAGTAAACAATCTGAACAGACATTTCTCCAGAGAAGATACACATATGACCAATAAGTACACGAAAGGATGCCTAACATCAACAGTCATTGGGGAAATGCAAATTAAAGACACAATAAAATACTACTTCACACACCCACCAGGTTGGCTCTTCTAGAAAAGATGGAGAATACCAGGGTTGGTGAGGATGCGGAACACTTAGAACCGTCACACGTTGCCGGTGGGAATATAAAACTGAGCGGCTGCTTTGGAAAACAAACATGGCAGTTCCTCAGAGTTAAAGAGAGCTACCATGTGACCCAGCATCACTCCTCGGTGAGAAATGAACCCTCGTGTCCATCCAAAATCTTGTACGCTAAAGTTTATGCCAGCATGATTCACAGTAGCCAAAGAGTGGAAACAACTTAATGTCCATCAACAGACGAATGGATAAACGAAATGTGGGACGGCCACACAATGGAATACTATTCAGCCACGAAAAGGAATGAAGGAATGGCACACGCCCTAACATGGACGCTTGAAAACATCATGTAAAATGAAAGAAGCCAGGCACAAATGTCCACATATGTGATTCAATTTATGTGAAATGTCCAGAGGAGGCAACTCTACAGAGACAGAAAGATTAGTGGCTGCAGGGGGCTGGGGGTGGGGGCGGGGAGTACTAATGAGTCGAGTTTCTTTCTGGAGCGATGAAAAATTCTGGAAGAGATTGTGGACGGTTGCACAACTCTGTGAATATACTAAAAATTACTCAATTGTACAGTTCACATGGGTGACTTTTCCAATGTGTTAACTGTAATTCAATAAAGCTATTATTAAAAAAACAAACAAGCAAATACACAACAAAAGAAACTTGCGCTTTCTCTGCTCTTTCCAAATCTCAGGGTTTAAATCAATATTTCCTCTTCAGTAACCTAAAGGTTAACGGATTAGAAGATGCCAGAAGACAATTTTTTTAAGTTTTTTTAAAATTTATTTTGAGAGAGTGACAGAGAGAGAGAATTAATCCCAAGTAGGCTCCATACTGTCAGCTATCAACACAGCGTCTGATGTCAACACAGGGCTCAAACTCAGGAACCATGAGATCATGACCTGAGCCAAAATCAAGAGTCGGATGCTTAACCAAGTGAGCCACCCAGGTGCCCCAAGATAACTTCATTATAGTATTAAAGTTTATGTTAATACAAAATAATAATGGGGCACCTGGGTGGCGCAGTCGGTTGAGCCTCTGACTTCAGCCAGGTCACGATCTTGCGGTCCGTGAGTTCGAGCCCCGCGTCAGGCTCTGGGCTGATGGCTCAGAGCCTGGAGCCTGTTTCCGGTTCTGTGTCTCCCTCTCTCTCTGCCCCTCCCCCGTTCATGCTCTGTCTCTCTCTGTCCCAAAAATAAATAAACGTTGAAAAAAAAATTTAAAAAAAAATAATAATACTAAAAAAAAAACTTTAACAGAAAAAAATAAACTTTAAGGTCTAGTTTACTTTTAATATAAAAGGTAATCATTTAATTCAACAAATATCTCGTATTCACTATGCTGATTCAATTAACACTTGAATTTTTACAGGTGAGTATAAATGTACACGTTCAGAAATTTCTCCCTGGGATTCATGGGAGATTGACTGAAAACATTCAACATTAAACTCACAAATGATCGTTTCACCTTGATATCCTAAACAAAACTGGGGATCAAAAACTTTTAACTGACCTACCTACCAAAATGCACACACATAGGCAGAGATTTCAGAAGAGCTTCATGAATTACACAGATGAAAAAGAAACATTTCTCTATGTATCCATGCCATTAAAAAAAAAAAAAGTGGGCCTTTCCGCCTTACAGCATAAAAACATTCTACTTAACCAAAGATAAAATCAAGTCGGAAATAGACACAAAAATGCCCTTGTTTTAACTGATCTTCCCATACATGAACACCACCAATAACTATTCCTAACGAACTGGGGACAGGTACATTCATTCATCCATACCACCACAGCTCCGGTAACTCAATTAACTGACGGGAAATCTTTCTCCAGTCCCAAAGCAAGGGGAGGCATAAGGTCAGAAGCTCACCCCCTGCGGGGAAATACTGCTCTGTAAGTTGGACCAAAACTAGTGCCCATCACCTTCAGTCCTGGGGACCCCTAAAGACCCACTAAAGAGTGAAAGCTATGGGGCTGGATGCCACGGGGGTCTTGGCTCTGAACCTTGCACTTCTGGCAAGCCATTTACAACGCCTCTGGGGGTTCGGCTCCCTCTTCTCTTTGTATTCCACCGTGTTCTCTAAAGGTTCTAAAATAGCTGAGTTTGGATTCATCTATTTAAAAAAAAAAAAAAAAGGTAGTTTTTACACACAAAAACTGATACACGAATGTTCACAGGGATTATTCGCAATGGTCCAGGAACTAGAAAACACCCGAATGGCCACAAGCTGATAAACAGACAAAGAAAAAGTCGTGTCTCTGCACACTGGAGTATTATTCAGCCATAAAAATGGATGAATTACTGATACATGCTACAACATGGATATCCCTGAGGACACTGTTTAACAATTAAGAATACAGGCAAACAAAAAACAGAAAACCCTATGTTAAGGTGGAAAAAAAAAAAAAGACATGAAGACCATATATTATATTCCATTAACGTAAAGTGTCCAGAACGGGTACGTGTATAGAGACAGAAAGAAGGGGAGTGCTTGCTGGGAGGCTAGGGATTGAAGGGTGTCGGCGGAGGGGTACAGGATTTCTGCAGGCGTATGAGGAAAATGTTCTCCAATCGACTGTGGTGATGGCTTCACAGCTGTGACTGTCCTCAAAGCCACTGAATTATGCCCTCTGAATGGGTAAACTGTATGGCACGTGAATCACACCTCAATAAAGAAAGCCATTTAAAAAAAAAAAAGTAAGCCACTGGATCAAGATCCTAGGGTCTCTCTAGTTCAGTGTGAGGTTCAACAGGGCTCCCTACTCACCAGCAGTCTGGAAGTCGATCTCAATAGGGTTCGACAGACTGGTTGCTGCTTCTCGCCACAGGCTGCCCCGGACAGGAGACCAGGCTGTCACCACGCAGCGGTACAGCCCCGCATCCGACACCTGAGTCTGGTACATTCGATAACGAAACTCATCTTCCTGCACCTTCTCGAGCACAACGCCATCCACCCGCGATGCGTCTGTCCAGTTCTCCAGCTTCACCACAGAATCCTGGTCCAGGGAGATGATGTACTTGGTTTCATTGGGGCTGGAGAGGTCCCCAACAGGCTTCTCAGCGGTGATGAGAACAGAGTAGCGCGGCGACTTAATATTCTTGGAAGACACTTTGCACGTCATCTCAAATGTATTTCCTGCAGCAAAGAAAGGCTTTGGCTGCCTTGCCTTCACCACAAGCACGGAATCTGGAACGAAGCACCAGAAAGAGGTGATTTCCAACAGGCCTGGTTAAAATGGACGTACGTCTGAGGGCACAATGACGGGGGAATTGGAATTTAGGCGCAAACTGCCGCACGACAGCACTTTTAAGAAAATCCGGAAACCCGGAAGGAAAACCACACGGATCTGGAAGCAGGCTACAGGCCACCATGCTAGATGAAGCAGAAGAGACTGGAACGATTTGGTGGGCGTGAGGGAATCTGGGAGACTTGCGGTGCCCTCAAGGACAGGAGGCAGAGCTGACGCTTAGAGGACGGGAGGAGACGTGGTTGAACCCATCACCCAAGGGGGACTCTAGGCCATGCCAGTTGCCTGCCCTCCCCTGAGGTTCTGCTGGGTGAGGGAGAGTCCGCTGGGAGGAGCAGAGCAAGGGAGAAATGGGTTCTTTCTGTTTCATCATATGATGCTCTCAGTCAGAATGGGGTTATTACTCAAGTGACTGGAACACGCACCTGTAGCTCTAGTCCTTCCCACAGAGACACTGTTTTAACATTTTGGGCGAGTGTCCATGGCTACACTAACTTTACGTTTAAGCACGTTACTCCCTGCTTCTCTGTGAAAACAGAAATCCCTAAGCATATACACATTAGGAGTCATCTATATTATGACAGCTCAATGTCAGGCACGCGGAAGGTACTTCAGTATTGGTTGAATGGATGAATAAATGAATTAAACATACTCTTTTTATCCTTTAATAAGATTATTAATTCTATAATCTGCCTAGCTAGAAACTGAAATTTTTATATTGGGTTTTTGCACCAAACCTATTAGGCAGAACACGTGTGTTATATAGTGTCTGTCCAGTGTCACTGGTTCCTGAGGTCCCACGGAGCCACCCACATTCTTTCTTGGTTCTCCCATGAGTTTGGTAATCCACTGATTAATTACCCAAGTACTTAGAGCCTCCCATATTCCAGGTACTGGCGATAAACAAAGAATGCCTTATATGCTAGCAGAGGAAGAGGAACAAAATAAATAAATAAAATATACAGTATGGTTAGCGGGGGATCATGTGTGAGAAAATGAAGACGAGGCAGCAAAGGAGGCGGAGAAGGAAGAGCTGTGAGGTAGGAGGGAAGCCTAGGGAGGACACTGTCCCAAAGCCAAGGGAAGACCAGAGAGGACGGCGTACCACGGCCAAGGAAAAACCAAAGTACTTCTGGGAGGAGGGAATGATCACCGGCACTAAATCCTAAGTCAAGTAGGACAGCCAACAACTGGATTGTGCAGTATGTCAATCACTAGCAATCTTAACATGAGGACCGGGGACAAAAGCCTGATCAGGGCAGGTGCCAGAAGGAACAGGAAAAAAGGAACTGGAGACACCCAGTACAGACAAATCAAATGCTTTGGCTATAAAACGAAAGAAAGAGCAGTGAGTGGGGGCCAAGGGGCTTGGGGAACGGAAAGATGGAGGGTGAAGTGAGATCAAAATTACTCTATAGGGGCACCTGGGTGACACAGTCAAGCATTTAACTCTTGATTTCGGCTCAGGTCATGATCTCAGTTTGTGGGTTCAAGCCCCAGAGTCAGGCTCCACACTAAGCATGGAGCCTGCTTGGGATTCTCTCTCTCTCTCTCTCTCTCTCTCTCTCTCTCTCTCTCTCTCTCTGTCTCTGCCCCTCCCCTGCACATGCACATGCATGCATGCTCTCTATCTGTCAAAATAAATACATAAACTTAAAAAAAATTCCTTTAAAGGGACCTCTGGGTGGCTCAGTTGGTTGAGCATCCCACTTCAGCTCAGGTCACGATCTCATGGTTCGTGAGTTCAAGCCCCAGGTGGAGCTTTGTGCTGACAGCGTGGAGCCTGCTTCAGAACTTGTCTCCTTCTCTCTCTTCTCCTCCCCCTCCCCCCCCACCGCCACTCTCAAAAATAAATATTAAAAAAGTTACCTCATAAAATACAAAAGTAAAAGACAAGAGGTCTAACAGTTCGTTTATAGGTCAACAGGAAAGGTCTGGCAATTGTAGTAACGTTGACAACAGAAGAGGGGGGAGCCACATGTCTGACCGGTAGGAGAAGCTGCCCTTTGCTAGGACCTGGGCTGGGGGCGAGCGTGGGGAAATTCTCCTCTGATGGTTTCTGCTTCTTTAGGGAAAGAGAAAGCAGGGCAAACAGCTGAGGGTAAGGCTGGGAAGGGAGGATTTCAGAGAAGGTGGTATGCAATAATCACTGTGGAGAGGAGGGAAGTGAACAGATTAGGGAAGTGCAGAATGATTGCCAGGCAGCGTTGAGAGCTCCGTTGCCATAAAGGATCCGAGATTTAAAGAGAAGCCAGCCCACACGTTTAAATGTTTCTGTCCAATGACAAATGCAGGTAGGGGGGGAGAGCAGGCGGCTTTGAACTGGCCCGTGGTTAGGTCAGAGCACCATGCAAAACCAGAGCAGGGCAAAAGGGAGCTCAGCGTGCAAGGGGGCGGTGACGGCTGCCTGGGAATCTAAGCGAGGTGACTGCACATCTACCCTCTCTCTTCCACCCCCGGACATACCTCAGAATGAAAGCAGGGGCTATTAAAAAATGGGCAGGGGCACCTGGGTGGCTCAGTCAGCGGTGTCCAACCTCAGCTCAGGTCACGATCTCACAGTCCATGAGTTCGAGCCCCACGTCAGGCTCTGTGCTGACAGCTCAGAGCCTGGAGCCTGCTTCGGATTCTGTGTCTCCCTCTCTCTCTGCCTCTCCCCTGCTTATGCTCTCTCTCTGTCTCAAAAATTAAAAAAAAAAAAAAGATGACACAGGGCAACAGGTGTAGACTGGACTGCCCTTGACAAGTGGTGCTATGACAGGAGAGAGAAATGAAGGCCAGTACATACAAGGTCATGGGCTGCCGGTCCGGTAGGATTAAAGGGCTGATGCGGGAGTACTGGAGGGGGTGGTGGGAAGAAACGGAAGGTGTGTTTATTGAACAGAATGCCTGGAATGGAGGGCGCGGAAGGTTTTTGGTGATCACAACTCAGACGGTCTAGTGTAGGGTGTGAACGTGGAAGGAAATGGCCAAGCCACACAGAGGACACGATAACTCGGGAGGAGGGCAGGGGACTGAGACAGAAAGGTTTATCTTCACCAGGCTTTTCCACCCTGGCCACATAGGAGAAGTGGCTTGGCAGCAAAGCCCAGACTGCATATACCCTCAGGCCAATTATGACAGTACCCCTTGGGGGACTTAAGTATCATGGTGTTTTTTTTTTTAATGTTTGTTTATTTTTGACAAAGAGAGAGAAAGAGACAGAGACAGAGCTTGAGTGGGGGAGGGGCAGAGAGAGGGAGACAGAATCCGAAGCAGGTTCCAGGCTCCGAGCTGTCAGCACAGACAGCGGGGTTCGAACTCACGGACCGCGAGATCATGACCTGAGCCGAAGTCGGACGCTTCACCGATTGAGCCACCCAGGCGTCCCAGGCATCAGGGCTTTTTGGAAGCTCCGTGGGTGTTTGCAATGTGCATCCGAAGTGTGGGCCAGCTCTGTACGCAGAGAGAGGCTAGCAAGTCAGTAAGAGGACTGGAGCGTGTGGCCGTGAAACAAAAGTGCCTCCCTTCCCAGAAGGAATGAGGACCAGGAGTCCAGTGAGGGGGTGGCATGAGCTGATGAATAGGCCCTGCTGTAGAAGGAGCGTGGGGAGGAAACCCCTCTACTCAGGAGACCCCAGGGGAAACAGCGGCCTCACGGGACAGAGCGAGGCTGGTCATGTTTCAGGTGGGGAAGAGAAAGGAATGTTCCAAGCTGAGCTTCAGGCAACAGGAGATCCCACGGAGTCTGAGAGGGCCCAGTTTGGGTTTGGGGGGGGGGGGCGTGTAGCACGGAGGGGGTGGCAACCAGTCAATTGAGGTGTGTCAAAGGGCATGTGGTACGTAACACCTCGGGCGCGAGGGGGACCTAGGAAGCCTGGGCTCCCTGCAGTGAAGGACTTGATGAGTCGGGCGTCCCAAGGCAGACAAAATTGCTTCCCCCAAGTTCTTGTCACCTCTCCCCAGAAACGATCTCTCTGAATGGACGACTGACGCCTCAGGGGCAGGTGCAGTGGCCTGTGGCCGCCCTTTCATCTGTGGCACCGCAAACGTGCCTGCATCCAGCAGGAACTCGCAGACACAAACCCACCGCAAACACCCCAGACCACCCAGCAGAGCAAGTGTCAAGGGCGGAGCCCCTCCACACTGTGGGCACCTACGAGATGAGCGTCTACCACCCACCCAGCCCCAGCTCTCTCCCCGGGACTGAGCCTCCTCGAGCATCAGCCTCTTGAAGGGGTTCACGCTGTTGATAAATGCAGTAGTCGCTCGAGTTTGCATTCTCTGGGCTTCCTGGCGGCAAGGGAGCCTGCAGGTGGGCCGGGCACGTAAAAACGCGCAGTGGGATGACCAGGGCCCAAACGAGAAAACGGACCGTCCCTGAACAAGACCAACGCGCCTACCTTCCGATGCCCAAAATATGTTGACGGGTTTGGAGAAGACGTCCTTGCTCTTGACCCAGCTGTCGTTACGCTGTTTGGTCCATGCGGACACAGCACAGTAATAACTGCCTCGGTCTTCCTCTGTGGTCCTTTGGATTCGGAAACTGAACGTGTCCGTACGCTCCTTAGAAAAAATAAAGTCTCCGTCCTGGGCCCGCTGCTTGCTCCGGTCTCCGTACTTCAGCGTCCAGTCCCCATTCATGACTGCAAGCAGCTCGCTGGCCACCAGGTCATCGCTGCGCCGGTTCACCCTGTAGTACCAGGACACCGTGAAACGGACGCTGGCCTGCAAGCTCTTCATGTCCACTATGCGGCACTCCAGCTCTGTGAGATCGTCTGAAAACTCGGGGACCTTAGAAGCATTCAGGTACACCTGATAGTCTGGTTCTGAACGAGAGGGAGAGAGGTAGGGGGAAGGGGCAGGATAAATAAAACCAGACAGCAACATACTAAGAATTAGCAAAAAGAATGAGACAAGCGCTACTCCCGTCCTGACCGTCAAATGCCCCTCCTACTGACCACAGTGAAGGGAATCAAAGTCTTTGCGCTGGAGAGGAAGGATCTAGAGTCAGTTCCTGCAAAACTTGCACAACGCTGCCACCTGGGAAACCTCCCAAGGCCAGAAGCCAAATAAATGCCTGTAATCAGAGTCCTGACCTTTCCATAGGCTCGGGGGCTGTGTCAGTTACCCCAGCAGGTCGGTCTTCCTCGAGGGAGCCGAGAGGCTCAGTGCTCATGCTCTACTGAGGTTTTGCCTGGTAAAGCCAGCCTGCCAGGCTGTGCCGACAGAGCTCCAAAGCCCCCGCTGGAGCAGCACATGGGAAAACCCCATCCCAGAGTGCATTCCAGTACTCGAGGCCGATCCCCACCCTGGCCTGGTTCCTGCCACCCTTAGCCAGGCTCCAAAGGCAAGGCCCTCAGGTCACCATTCGTCCTGCAGATTCTCATCCTCACTTTCCTGGTCCTCTGACTTTCTTCCGCTCAGTGTGTTCAGTAGTCAGTACAGCCTCCCCACACGACACTGTCTTCGCTGCCCCACGTGACTCTCCCACATAGTTCCCGCACACGGGAGAGCAGAGCGGGCTCTCTTGGGACCACGCCACTTCCCTGCCAGGTGCACGTTCTGCCGGGGGTGGGAGGGAAGCCAGCGCCCTCCTGGCGTCCCCTGACTGCCGTCACAGCCGTCTCACTTTTATTCTTCCCTCGTGTGAAAACCCTCCTTCCTCGGAGGTTCGCTGCACCCATCTCATCCATTTTTACCATTCCACGTTTCTGTCTCTGCTGTCCCCAAGGCCTTCCTCCACACTTGCCAAGGAACTGGCATTAGAACCTCTCTGTGGCCTCCCACCCCCTCCTCGGGTCATTCTCAACGATCTGAGGTTCTCCAGCCCCCACACCGTGTCACACCACTGTGGTCACCTGCTGGCAGTGGCCGTCTCCTCCTGACCGCCCTGCAAACTTCCACTCATCCTTCACTGTACCTTTACTGTACCCTCCTCTGTGTCCGCCTTCGGGGTCCCCAGAGTGTGGCACCCTTTCTCCCTGCTCCCATAAGCCGTGGAGGTACGCTCGTGCAGCAGCGTCCCTGTTATTACCGTTGAAGATCTCCTCCCCAAGTGCCAGATACACAGCCTTGTATGCAGCGGGCACTCAATCAATGTGTGCTGCCTGGCTTTTACAGAAAGTCACATTCTTCTCTTGTGGCGTATGGTCTGCCAGGAGAAAACTAATTCTCCCTAAAGGGAACTTTCCATCTGCTACGGCGATCTTTATTCCCATCGCCCCAAACAGTTTAGTTTTATTTAACGTTGCTTTTATTGATGACTCATTCAGATTATAAACTGCTGAGGTCAAGGAACTGTTCTGCGATTTACACCTCTAATAAAATGTGTAACATCGTGACTTCTCCAAGAATGATTCAGTGGCCAGGAAATGGAAAGAACGCAAAATCCTAACGCCTTCAAATGGCATCTTCACAAGCATTTCACTGCAAGTGAGGGTAGGCCCTGTGGCATATATAGTTAAACCGAGGGGACCTGGCCCACCAACGGGAGCACGCCGTGCCGCGGGGTGGAGGTTACGGAAACAGCATGGGGTGCAAGCACGCCACGCTGCCTCCTCATCGGACAGGTGAATGTGCTAGAGTCGCACAGCTGGGGGGTGTCCTGCCTCCTGGGCACAGGGCCGGCACCCCACGCTGCCTCGGCAATGACACCGCCTGTGGAATAAATACCACCCAAATGCCTTTACACTGTCCCGTGCTTAAGACCTTCCCAGATTACCCTACATCCCAGGCTTCAGACCCTTTCCTCCTGGCAGACTTTGCCAGAGCTACCCGAGCGCAGACAGGACAACCAGGTGCCTCTCGCGCGGCGAGGACAGCCGTGGACTGGCTGGGGCGCGTGGCAAGATTGCACTGCTCTGTCAGGACTGACCTGGAGAGCCACACCAAGAGTGCTCGTGACACGGCAGGAGAAGCCGCTGCCATGCACGGATCCCACCCCCATTACGAGCAGAACACGAACACCCTTCAAGTAGTTCCATGTTAACCAGAACAACAAACTGAGGCAGTAAAGGGCAGTGGTGAAGAGCCAGGGACCCGGAGGCAGACCGTTCGAATCCTGGCTTGGCCATCTACTTGCTGTGCACTTGGGGCAGACTACTTAACCTCTCTGGTGCCTCACCTATAAAAATAGAGATAGTAGCAGTTACTGGCTCGCAATGCTGCTTGTGAGGACTAAGAGTTAAACTATACAGGGTGCATGCGGCTGGCTCTGTCGGTAGACTGTGTGACTCTTGATCTCAGGGTTGTAAGTTCGAGCCCCACGTTGGGTATAGAGATCACTTAAAAGTAAAATGTTTTTTAAAAAAGGAGTTAAAATATACATAAAAGTGCTTTACACTGGTGCCTGGTACGTGTGTGCGTGCCTATGCACGCACACATATACGTATATATACGGACACACGTGCATATTGGCGAACTACCATTCACCATTCCCAGCTCGTATCTGAGGAAGCAGAGCTTTAAAGACGTCAGTCACGTGCCCATACAGCTCCAAAGTGGGATCTGAACCCAGGGCCATATCCTTTCTAACGCCTTTCAAGGACAGCTTCGCTTCCCGGATGAACCACGTTCCGTCTTCTAAACTATTTTCTCACTCCCACTGACTGGCACAATGACCTGTAGCATCACGGGATGTCGTGCCTGGCAACGACACTGGTATGGCACCATCACCAGGAATCTCACCCATAGAGGCAGCTCCCCTCCACGTGCCGTCACCTAAGCCTGGATGACCAGCACCATCCAAATGGCCGAGAAGCAAGCTGTCGGATTTTTCTTCTGTTTCCTTAGCAGTCACCAGCTCTCAAAAATAAGCCGTTCAGGGGGCACCTGGGGGGCTCAGTCGGTTAAGCGTCCGACTTCGGCTCAGGTCATGATCTCACGGTTCGTGGGTTCGAGCCCCGCGTCGGGCTCTGTGCTGACAGCTCGGAGCCTGGAGCCTGCTTCGGATTCTGTGTCTCCCTCTTTCTCTCTGTCCTTCCCATTCACGCTCTGTCTCTTTCTCTCAAAAATAAACAAACTTAAAAAAAATTTTTTTTTAATTTTTTCAAATTAATGTTTTTAATGTTTGTTTATTTTTGAGAGAGAGACAGAGCATGAGTAGGGGAGAAGCAGAGAGAAAGGCAGACACAGAATCCAAAGCAGGCTCCAGGCTCCGAGCTGTCAGCACAGAGCCTGACGCGGGGGTTTGAACCCACGAACCGTGAGATCATGACCTGAGTTGAAGTCGGACGCCTAACTGACTGAGCACCCAGGCACGCCCCCCCCCCCACAAATATTTTTTTCAATAAGCCCCTCAGTCCTTGCTGGTTTACTTTCTTCCCCTGAGCATATTCCTCCAGAGGCATGCTGAAAATAAAGCTATTAGAATTACCATGAAAGACGGATGGTAGAGAAGCAGTGACATCTGTGGTCAGACCACGAGGCCCCCCAACAGCTCATTCCCTGGATACTGGAACCCAGCTGCTCCTCTGGGTTCCTCCTTAGGCTCAGACCCGAACACCAGCACAGAGCTGGCTTCTAGGCATCTCAGGTGGGTGTGTCCGTGCCATGGCCAGCGTACCACATTTGTACCATCACCTCGCTCCCCACCTGCCTCTGCCAATGTACACGCGCACAAACACGCATGCAAATATATAATACACACATGCATGCAGGCACACACATGCACAAGCACATTCATACATGCACGCACACACATACGCACATTCATATATGCACACATGCTCACATATACAAGCACATTCATATGCTCACACAAAGCACACATTCATACATTACACACACACATACACATTCATACGCATACGTACACACACTCATACATGCACGGACACACGCAAACACGCATTCATACACATACACACTCGTACACACACATGCACACGTACATAAGCACACATTCACACACACTTGTACACATGCATGCACACGTATGTAAGCACACATTCATACACATACTCGTACACACACATGCACACATACGTAAGCACATGTTCATACACATGCACACTCCTACACACACACACGCACACACATACATAAGCACACGTTCATACACATACACACTTGTACACACACGCATGCACACACATACATAAGCACACGTTCATACACATGCACACTCATACACACACGCACGCACACACATACGCAAGCACACGTTCACAAACACATGCACACCCATACGTAAGCACACACTCATACACACTCACACATACACGCGCGTGCACACACAGCTGACTCCCGTTCCAGACTCGGCCAGCTCCTCCTCCTAACTTCCCAATTACTGTTCCTGCTGCCACACCCACCATTCGCTCTCCAGGTCACCTCTGCTCAAGGCGTGTGCCGTGTCCGACTCTCCACTCCAAGGGGCCCTAAGCCTCACACTGCTCCCATTCCAGGGCCTGCACACAGTAGGTGCTCTGTAAGTATCTGTGAACAAAAGTGGGAGCCTCATGAACACCGCCCTCATCCCGGCCCTCTCTGCCTCTGGCCGAGACTATTATAAGTAATCAACCCGCCTCCAGGCGGACACAGGTATCAGGTCATCTGTACCGTAAACTTCCCATGGCTTTCCTTCTCACCTCCAGGGTGATGGGCACACTCCCCAGCCTGGCACACGAGGCTCTCGTGAGTGTGAGTCTACCCCATTTATCTGGCCTCACCGCCTGCTGCCTTCTTATATCTATTCTACATTCCCCTGGGGTGACACCTCTCCTCATTCCCTGACCTCCTCCCACGCTTCCAGGCTTTCTACCTCCCTTCCTGCCGCTCCCTCTACCTCGGCACCTGCGACACCTGCCTGGTGGCTGTTGAAGAGACG